TTTCTTCAATAAAGCACCAATGGAGTCCTTTCGAGGGAGCCTTATTAACTCTTTGGAAGAGTCAGACCCACACGTGCCAATGCTATATTATCTCCTTAGTGTAAGAACCTGAAAGAGATAATAAAATCTGAAGGTTACAGCAGATACTGGGAAGAGAGAATGAACTTGTTCAAAAGGAAGGAATACTGAGTTGAGAAGGACAGGCGAAGGAGTGGGGGAAAGAGGTGTATCTATGTATGTCAGCACAATGGTTTGGATAATTGTATTGTGGCTTTCTACTGGTCTGTGGAAAGGAGCAGTTAACACTCAATTTTTTATCTTTTTTTCTCAATTTTTTTTCTTTTTCTCTCTTCTTAATTTCCTATATTTTTTTCTTTTTTCTTTCTTCTTTTAATTTTTCTGAATATATCTGGTAATATGAGCGAACTAATTTGAAGGCAACACTGTGAAATCCAACAAATACTATCAGATTTATATTATTTTGTTTACTGAAATTCTGCATCATTTCTAATGTTTTGTTTTAATAAAAAAACTCACCAGCATATACACAAAATATAGCAAAAATTTTCAAAGTGTGCAAAATCCTTTCAAGCCTAAAGCAGAACACTAACAACAGGGCAGAAAAAATAACTATGAAAAGAAGAGAAGAACAAGGTAGTAATACAAGTATACACAGACATTTTGTTGACACCGGCAAGATTAAACTAAGCAAATAGAACAGCTGAACCTCAAAATTGCACATTACCCTATGTTTTAGCAGAAGAGAGAGAATATTTATAATAAAACTTATAATGTCACGGACACTACAGTGAGCCATACAAGCTGCATAGCTAAGAACAGGAACTCTAGAGACCAAGGCTTGGGCTCAAGCCTCAGTTGGCCACCTTACTTCTGTAAGCCTGTTTCTTCATGCTGGAGATAATGATGTCTTACTGCATAGAGTTATTGTGAAGAGCAAACCTGTTACTGTATGTAAAATGCGTCACATACTGACTGGACAGGCTCACAGGAAGTACCATGTAAGTTATTATCATTATAGCATCATTAGCGCATTACTTCTGGGGAAAGTACTGGGGAAAACACTTCTTACAGAAAGTGATACTGAAGTGGACTTGGAACAATGGCGTTATTTTTATAATTGGGCTCTTGGTTTGTATAACCTTATATTTAGATAACATTGTGAAAATATTCTATGTGCCTTAATGCATAGGCTTATATAAATTTTGAAAGAAAATATAAGCTGATGGTATATATACTACATGACTAGTATTGGAATGAAAATTGCAGATTTGGTGAAATCTGTTTATATGTGTGTTCTTGACTAAATAAAGGTATCGTAACATGAATTAAAACATCCATTCAACCTGCACTATTTAAACATAGGTGGAAAACATGAGCAGACTAATTGTATCAAACCTAGAACTACATGGACACAGCCTTATGTTATTCTGGTAGTTTGGTATAAATGATTGATATTTGCATAAAAATAAAGTACAAAACAAACCATTGAAATGGCCAGATAATACATACTAAATAATAATCCCAAGGTACAGTTGTTTAATGGGTGAGAGACAACAGAAAATGGAATTGTACTGAAGGATTTCTTGTTAGTTAGAGCCTGATCATGTTTGGTTTTGACTGTGTGCTGCAGCAAACATCATGCATTTGGGGGAGTGCAGCGGAGACCATGGCAATTCTGAGCAGAAGCTATATACATTGGAGCAGCCTAGGAAGGAGCCCTAATCTGCCTTCAACAGTGTGTGCAGTATGGCTTTCTTTTCCTGTGCATCAGTCCCCTTAGCACCTAATCTGTGAGATCCCTAGGGCCAAACTAATGTCTATCTCAAGTGGGATGGAGAGCAGTAAGTGAGAGAACATTAAGGGACTGGGGAGATAGCCCAGCAGCGTTAAGTGCAAGGTCCTGAGTTTGATCCCCAGTATAGTGTGGGGCACATAGAAAGAACTCAATGTTAGCTCTTTCTTTAAAGAACAAACTATCATTGACAACATGACAGCAAGAAGTTCTAGAGAGCCTAGATACTATCCAAGATGCCAACAAAGAATAAACTGAGTATTTCTGTCTCTCCAAACATCATTCCTTAATTGAATGTAGTTTATTTTTTACAGTTAAATATCTTCTTTACATCAATGTTTTCTTTTTTGTGGGGAGTACAATAAAATGCTTTTACTTTTGTCAAAATCATATATGTAAGTTATATATGCTACATGTAAGTTATTTTTTTTCTTAAAAATTTCTATTTGTATATCTCATCATTTATTTATCTATCAACCTTTAAACTCTTAGTATAAATTTACCTGAAAAATCCCTGAAAGAAATCACATAAGTAATGGCAGTCGCATGAAAATATCATTTTTGAAAGACACTTACTTGGCCACATAGTTCATTTTAATCTAAAATATTGAAAATGAGATGTCTTTCAACATGTGCAAGTCTACATGCCAATATTGTTATCACAGAATCTACAGATACACAGCGTGGCAAATAAAAAAGGTGAGAAAAAGCCATCATCAGACCTTTAAATTTAAATACTAAGCTTTAAACACCAAAACTTATTCCTTTCCTATTAGTTGGAAAGGAATTAAAGTATCCCAATTTAAACCAGTTCATTATTTCACAAAACATGACTTCTACTTATGGAATGAGCCTGGTTTTTTTTTTAACATTCTTTCAGGCATATTCTATGAAAATTTACCATGAGTAACACTGACAGTAAAAAAAAGGACAGTTAGAAAACTTGCAAGTGGCGGTTCTAGTTGCACATTGTAAAGATGAATTATCTATAGTTAAGAAAACTTTGACCCCATTAGTGGCTGTGAGTGTAGCTTTATTAATCTTATGTATGTCTAAATTATTTTTTGTGTTCCAAAACAGAAACATGCACCTGGTCCACATCTCATCTTATTTATATTCATTCACTCCTTCAGAGTTGGATTTGATTAAAAACATCAGGGTCTTGTTTGTACTAAGCAATGATTACTCATTACATCATATGCAGAAAAACAATCTGGGCTCCTTAATAGTTTTTCTTGTCATCACTATCTCAGCCATGTTTTATTGCTTGTTTTTGTTTTATCTTTTCTTGTTTCTGAGTAACAAGAATTCAGTAAGTACAAGATTTGTCACTTACCTTATTCTTCACGTGGCAGGAATATTTGTAATGTGTCCTGTCCCATAACTATGTAAACTGGGAATTTGTGCCATATCAGAATTCATCCTTCCTGTGTCCCTTCATCCGGTTGCCTGCTGTCACTAATGTTTTGTGGTGCATTTTTAGCTGTACTCTTCTCTCCCTGGCCTCAGTGTCACCTTTCTTTGACAGTCTTCCACACACAAGATCCCCAACCCCAGATGAGTGTTTCACCTTATCCGTGCAGAGCATATTCATCTTTGCATCTGCAGAGTAAAACGTAACACAGATTAAGACCTAAATAAGGTTTTGTGTTTGGTTTTTTTGTTTGTTTGTTTGTTTGTTTGTTTGTTTTGGAAGAACCAGGAATTGAACTCAGGCCCTTGCACTTGCCAACGAAGCACTTATTCCACTGAGCCATCTCCCCGGCACCCCTAAATAAGGTTTTTGAACTTGACTGAAATAGAATAGGTTATCTGTGCCTCTCCTTTCAGATTCCAGTATTATGTGATGATACTATATAAAGGTTACATTCTCACTATAAAATGGCAGATTCATTATAATAACACACCCCCTCCACTCCCAGTTTTCCTCTGACCTTTAGCAAAGCTCTTCAATAATC